TCGAGTTATGAGCTTACCCGAGAAAAACTTTGGTGAACCCGTGCGTAGGTACCACGCATGACCGAGCGCTGGGTTTGATCCCATTGAAACTAATGTGGATGAGAAACACCCTCTTAATGTTACAGTCTTCTAGCATCTCAGATCCCTGAGTTATGAACTTGCCCGGGAAAAATTTTGGCGGGCCCGTACGCGGGTACCACGCCTATCCGCGAGTTGAGTTTGAGCTCATTAATACCTACTTGGATGGGGAACGTTCCCTTAAAATTTCAGCTTTCTAGCATCTCGGAATCCCGAGTTATGGATTTAAGCGGGAAAAATTTTAGCGGGCCCGCACGTGGGTACCACGCTTGCCCGGGGGCTGGGTTGAGCTCACTAATATTCACTTGGATGGGGAACATCACCCTAAGGTTTCAGCTTTCTAGCTTCTCAGATCCCTGAGTTATGAACTTACCCGAAAACCTTGACGAGCCCGTACGCAGGTACGACGCGGGTAATGGCGCCAATTTTGGAGATTGGGGCCCATACCTGCATGTAGATTAATTTCCCAGAGTTTCATCCCTGTAATTTTTGTGGGTCTTGAGATGAAAAACCGTGACAGACGCGCACACGGACACACAGACACACACGCACAGACAACCCCTCGTCAAAATGCGTTTTCTGCATTGCATAGCTGCAAAAAACGCATAAAAAGTATCAAAATTGCACGGGCAGTTGGTATGAAGGTAAAGGTTGGTATTCATGATACTGTTGAAGTGCTTCCACGCACTAGTACTATTTTTTAAAAAAAAAATTGAGATGCAAATGGTACTTACGAGAAAGCAAACGGTCATTCGAGTGGTGCCCAAACACGTAGTACACATGTATTGAGCATGCGGTGAGTACTAACTGCAAATGTAGCTCTGAATCGATTGGCCTGTCATAAGCTGCACCTGACAAAGTCATTATTATTGAATCTCTACATCAAATACCAGACGATTGTGCTGTTTTGATAACAAAGTGCAATCACGTTAAAATTCTTGGATTTTATCCTTTACTTAGGACGGCTACTAGGCCACTTATTTCTTTTTCTATACAAAAAATTAGAGGCATGAACTCTAATTGTTTTAAATCCGCTGTAAAATACAATAAATAGCACTGCGCTAGCTGGTGTGATCATGTGTTTTGCGCAGTTCCGTCCAGCGGGCGTTCATTTGCCAAAAATGACTGTTTTATATTTCCGTGCATGCAAATTGATGTGTTGTCTCCTCCTAAGCCACAAAATTTCGCTCGACGACACGTGAAAGCTGAATTTGAAACCTTGGATGAGAAACATTCTCCTAGATTTCAACCTCCCAGTTTTCCAGTTTCCAAGCTAGTGACTTTCGCATTAAAACTCTTTTGTGGACGTACGTAAGATCTCTGCGTACGTAGGAGCTAAATTTGAGTCGTGAGATTTGAATAGGCAGAAAACATCCTCCTAAAATTTTTGCCTTACTGCTCTTTTGGTTCACG